TAGGAGGAGGCTGGAAACGGCAGATTTGGATTAAATGGTGTAAGACCTTGGTTTTCATGCCAAGGAATTTGGGCCTGTGCTGTAGGTGGTGAGGAAGGAGTTTGGCTGTTCTCTTGTCCTGGTAGCTAAGCCAGAGATCTGCCCCATCATGCCTGGGACCTAAGGGTGTGTGGAAAAGCCCTCTTCCGCTCTGTGAGCGTGTGGTGGGAGTGCGGTGGCTGCTGGCCTCCAGCCCACACTTCTCCTCAGTGGACTCCTTCCTGTGCTGACAATATAGAAGCAGGGGGGATAGTCATTTTTCAGGGTTTCACTTCCTCCTCGAGGGGAGACCCAAGAGGATCCCAGGAAAGGGGTGGTGCTCCCGGGGAGCTCAGTAGAGCAGCCACGGCATTTCTGTGCTGTAGCCACTGCGTGGCTGCACCGCATGCTCCTGCCGGAGATCATCCCTGCACAGCAGTTACTCTGCTACAGGAAGTTCCAGTGTGCATTTATCCTGCCACAGGGAGCTTGGAGACTGGCACTCAGGCCTTGGAATTTTTGTTTTATAATCAATGACTTGCTCTGTCTGGTCAGCCTTCTCTTCATTTCTGTAAATAAGATTTTTGTGACTCATATCCTGACACTTGCAATTGGCTTTACTATCCAATGAGAGGAAATGTTGTTGGCACACTATGTTTCATACGTAGATAATCGCTGTCTGCACACATCCCCACCTGCTGCAGGGGATGAACCAGCACCCGAATGCTCCCGGAGGTGGAGACCGTGAGGTCTCTACCTCAGATTTCTGTCCCGGGGCATGTGCATTACCTTTCTTCCTTTTGCTTTTCTTAAAAGGGAGAAAGCATTTTCTAACCACAGTGGTTTGAAGAAGTTAGTGATTAGTTAGTATTTTGAGCTCTTTGGAACATGTCTCATATGTCTGTGAGTTTCTCTCTCCTTGTAGTTGGGATCAGGTCTTAGCATCTGAGAGAAATGAGTAACCTCACCGTCTCCTCTGAGGACCGTCACGTGTGGGAATGCAGAATTACTTTTCCTTTCCCTTTTTGCTCCTCATTGTCAGGATGTCATCCTAGGAACTGAGCCACCCAGCCTTCACCACCTTTACCTCCTGCACCCGGAGTTCCCCTCAATTCTTCTGGATCTGGCCAATGCCACGGGCACAGTAACGGCTGCAGAGGGTCAGTCCCGGCGACGGTGGGAGTCTGTGTACACAGAGAGGGGAGCGGATGTGCTGCTGCGTGTGAGAAGACCGGGTCCCCAAGGGAAGGATGTGTGCTTTCAGAGGGGGGGTGCTGAGCCACTGGTTTTCCTTGGTGTCCGTGGTGTCCAGGGCCATTGCTGGAGCGTTCCCTTTGGGAAGTGCACCAGGCTCACAGGGTGAGGACCCACCTCCTCTGCATCTGCTGCAAGCTGAGGAGGAAGTGCGGTGCCATCCCCAGAGGGCTCTCAGTGGTGGGGATTCATGCAGCCACTCACTCAGCAGATGTTTATTGATTCACCCGTTGTATGCCAGGCACTACACCAGGGGCCGTGAGCACAATAAGAGTAGTTTCTTGACCCTCGAGGCGCTCAGGACTTAGAAAGAATTAACTGGAGGGATAGGATGGAGGTAGACTGTTTTCTCAGGGCATGGGTTTAGGATCAGTGGAGACTCCTTTGACTAGTAAAAGGGAACATGCCCATTGCCTAGAAATGGCAGCCAGAAGAAAAAGCAAAGGGAAAAAGACCACTCGTCACGACTGTTAACATTTGGGAAGTGTTTATATATGTATCTAAATAGTATTATATAGCAAAATTGGAGTCATATATTAGGGACCTTTAACTCCAGAAACGGAGCCCTGAAAACCCAGCCACTGCTACCTGCTAGTCTGGAGGTGTCTGATGGTCTCGCCCCAGCGGTTCCTTCCCCAGGCTGGCCTCAGGGAATCTGTTCCTGCTGGGGGTGGACGGGGAAGACCAGGCTGGTCACGTTCCTTACGTCTTTCCATATTCTCTTGCCCTTCAAAGACTTGCTTTCTCCTTAGAAACTTATTTGCCTTAAGGTCGAAGTTAATGCATTCTGAACTTACTGGGATACATTGGGAACTTGCAGACACCTCTCCACGGGATTTGTGTGTGGTAGGGGGCCAAGTAGGGAGCTGTCAGCTTACAAAATCCTGCAATTTGATCTAAATGAGCGATTTTTTTAATATTAGCATAAAATACTGTTAGTGCACATTTAATAATGGTAATCAAGAATCAAGACCATTTTTATTACAACACATATTTTAAAGATGAGGCGAAATAAACACTGGCTAGGTAATAGCTTATATGATCATGTGCTGACAATCTAGGAATTCTCAGAGTTTCTAGCTTGTTGTGCTCACTTTTCTACCAAATTGGCACCATAGTTGGTATAGCCTCTCGTTTCCTGATTTGGGGCTTTCTTAGAAGCAGCTGAAGAGAAACTATGGTACAGTTCAGCGACCTTCCCGAGTAGCTGGCTGTGCGGGTCACAGCAGCCCGAGCCGTTGGTCCTGTGGCGAGATGTTTCAGAGCCTCATTAAAAATGTGTGGGTCCCCATGAATCCCTACTACCCCCAGGTTTACCAGGAGATCTGGGTGAGGATGGGCTGATGGGCCTCATCGTGTACAAGATCAGGAGTGGGGATGAAAAAGCTAAAACGCTGAAAGGTTCAAGTCCCCCGCCTGCTCAAGGTCATCACTAGCAGTTGAGCCGAGTGCGCAGTGGTGGAGCATCAGCTCGCATACACCTTGGCTGTTAGATGGGGACGAGGGACACGCCGTATCTAGAAGTGCCCTTTCCTTGCTGGCATGAATAAACATACTGTGAGACAAAAAAAAAAAAAAAAAAGAGAGAGAGAGAGAAAAACTATGGTACAAAAGCTGAGAAGAATGTGTTGCTTTGCTGGCATCCAGCCCTTCGCCACTACACCCCACCGTTTAGCTCAGTGCCTTGCATCTATTAGGTGCTCAATAAACTTCTTGTATGAGTTACTGAAGGAGTAAATGAACGATTGAATCTGGTTGCTGAACCAAACCACTCTTCTGTTAGTGGAAGTCTCCTGTCCTTGTTAACTGCTCTTGTTTTTGTCCTTCCTCAGTTGGAATTAACGACCTCTGGAAAGATGCCTTTTATGTTACCAGGACAACAGGGCCAAGCTCCAAAGGCCATCCAGCACCCCTGGTGGTCAGCAAGCTTAGTCTGCGGTGGGCACTGATGGAGGGCCAAATGGTCCAGCTCAAGGAGACCACCCCCAAAATTGGCCGTGGGGAGCTGCGACGATTCCTCTCTAGGATCAAGTTTGTTGATTCTCCCTTGCAGGTGAATAGCTTCTGACACAAATATTTGGTTACTATTGAGGGTTTAGGACAAATTCTACCAGCTTCAACAGTGCTCTTTAGAAAAGAGAGAGAATGGGAGCCTCTTGAGTAGCTGGGTGTCAAGAACCAGTTGTTTCAGACCAGTGTTATTCTCTAAGGGTGCTTCATTACCACTGAGAAATGATGCTCAGTTCTTTTCAGAGGGAGATGGTACCACCTCCCTTAGGGGACATTGGTGGGGCCATAGTTTTTATTGTCCCAGTGACCAAGGGGGTTGGATACTACTGGTGTTTTCTGGGTAGAGGCTAGTGATGCTGACATGCTGGGCTTGTGGCAGTTACATAGAATTTACCTTGCTCAAATGCTAAAACCCTCATCTGTGGTCTAGTTCAATATTGAAGAGCTTATCATGGAAAAAAGAGCAAGTCTCTGGGTCTTATGGAGAGACACTTATGAGCAGTTGGAGCTGCACAGAAGGACAGGAAAATAGAGGAGTATTCTGACCTTTAGGTTTCCTCCATTTCTGTAGCATGAAGAAAATTCCAGCCACTGATACTTGCACCTTTTCCCTAGATCTAGTCGGATGCAGCCTTTAGTTTAAGAAGAAGTGAGCAGAACGGATGCTGTTTCTCTCCTGTCAGTATAAAATCAGTGCTTTGGAGAGAAGGAAGACGACTTCAACCTCCTCTCGCCACCTCTGCGTGGTGGTGGCAGAGCACTCTGGAAGGCACGTTGGAGTTCTTCAGTAACGGCACGAACCATGTGGTCGGGGTGTTTCACCTACTTTTTCAGCCTGTGCATTAACCCCCCACCTCTAGGCACTCTGTGTGGATAATTTGGAAATGTGAATCTAATAATTGTTTTGGTTTTTGTATGTCTAACTTATAAACTCTTGCTGGGAGATTCCAGGGAAGTTCCTCACTGGAGCATTTTGTTTTGCATCACGCCATGTGTGTGTGGTTTTCAGCTATGTCCTAAGCTCCAGGGACTCAGTTTCTTGTCCTGAAATACATCTGGTTTGTTTGGTCATCTTGAGGCTCCCAGAGGCCTGCCTCTGCTGGTCAGGGCCACTCATCATTCCTCTCCTCATACTTTCCCCACCTGTTCCTCGGCTTTTTCCCAACCTCAGCAGAGTGAGAAAGACTGATAGCGGGAGCCAGGGTGAGCCACCCTACATTCACCTCTTCCTATGTATCCTGTCTCCTCACACTTCCCACGTCTATGTATTGACCGACCATAGAACCACCATATTCCCATCAGAAGGGGAGCAATGATGAGGTCCACATGTTACCCTGTGGTTTTAATTGTTCTGCCAGTCCTCATCCTTTTTACTGCAGTAACGTTGAAAGTGCTTATGTGTATGCTGTCCTCAACATCGAGGAAAACTGAAGTCGGGAACAACTGAGGCAGATCCGCTCCTCTCTGCTTCATCTCTACTCTGCTTCCTTAGCATTTCCTCCTTACCGCTTCTCTTTTGCTCTCCTTTATTCAGGGATATTTTTGCTTTGCTTGCATGAGAGCAGAGCTGTTTCTGGACCTTTCCTCTTGCTCCCGAGCCCAGGATGCATCTCTTTTGCCCTGCACACCTCTTTTCTGGTAGAATCTTTGAAGCATTGTATTTTGAGAAAAACTCCTATGTAAATACTGTAACTTTTATAATTGGTTAAGTTCTTTAGAATTTTCTCCAGTGATTCTCCCTTCTTCTACTAAGTTCTCTCCTAAACTTCTAGGTCATGTGTATTTAGCCGAGATCCCGTGTTAACTGGAGGAGAACTGCTTTTCCTCGTGAATAGTTTCGATAAGTCATCTCTGAGTGCCACTCGGGTTCTCTCTTTACTTGAGACCGTATTTTTTAACTTGTGTTAATAAAGGAATTCAGAATAGAGAGAGATTACAGAAAATTAGGGAGCCTACATTGATGGGATAGATAGTAACTACCCCATTAGGCATTATGGCATCACAGAAGGTTGGTAGCAATAGCTCCCCTCAGGCATGTAGCCGGGCCTGAGGTTGGCCTTGCTATAGGTTTCTGGGCACCTTGCTGCCTTAAGTCTGTGAAAGCAAATTTGGTTTCAACACTTTGGAAGGCATGTGTTGGGGCATGAGTAGGTCAAGTTTATTACAAACTTGAGGGACCATTAACAGTGTACCCAGGAGTATGGGGATGACTCCAGATGTACTTCTAGGGTTTGAATCTACCTGGATAGAAGAGAGTAAGGTCTAGTAGAGAATTCTAAGACTCATTTATAGTTGACAGAATACCTAAAACTTGGGTGGTGGTCCTGCAGCCTGGGCTGAGGACCATGTGGGCCTCAGCCTGGTTCTCTATCCATGTTGAGGCCTTTAGGCAGGAGTAACATGTGAAGTTGTTTTCTGAGGACCTGGTTTAGGGGGATTGTTTTAGGTAGTTGTGCTGGGTGAATCCCAGAAACAATGTAAGAGGAAGCTAGAAAAACATAATGCCCCTAAATTCTTCATGGTGTGTTTGCAAATTAACATAGATTGTTTTTACTGTGATAAGTTTGACTCTCTTTGCTAAACATGGTACAAGCTCTAGGTTTCCTCTCCCTCTTGCAGCCAGTACAGGAGGTGTAAATGGTGGCAGAGATGGTGAAAGCTTCATCTGACCAGTATGGCTTCGGGTTTCTTGTTCAGTGTGTCTCTAAACAACTTTTCCTCTCAGGCAACCACCCACCCAGATTTCATTCTTCATTTCCAACATGGGGTTGCCGCAAGGCCAATGTGACAGTTCCCTAGAAATAGTACTGACTTCTGCAAGTGCAGGGGTCTTTCTCCTCCCAGTCTCTCCTCTTTCCTTCCCTTAGAAACCCTTTCCACCCCCCAGACGGTGTCTGCTGCCCTTGAATGTGAATTGCTGTCCTTATTGCCCATGTTAAAGAAGAGCCAGCTGGTGTGTTGTCAGGAAGTACTATTTAAAATGTGAACTGTTAGGTCAGTGGGGGAAAAAGGAGACATATGTAATACCTTCAACAATAAGGATTTAAAAATAAATAAATAAAATGTGAACTGTTACAGAACAAATAAATACCATGAATAGGAACATACTTGTGTGCCATTCTCATTCTTAACTATCAAGGATGGTTTGTTTTCCCCTGTGGATGGGTGAGAAGGTGGGGATCGAGAGAGGAGCACAGCCCGCAGCCTGTTCACTGGGGAATTCTCCTGTGTGTTTCTCCACTGGGGAGGCATAGTCCTGCCTCAGTAGCCTCAGTGGGCCATTTCTGGAAGTGGGCCTGTCCCTGCATGTGGTTGGAGCCTTCTCATCCACACTCATCTCCTACTGGCTTCTAGGATCATACTTAATTACACTTTCATTGGGTGTCCACTGTGTGGAGGCAGAGCATGTAAGAGGCAGTGTGAGGGACATCTACATGTCACAGCCCCTAGGATTGCCTTCGTTTCCTTCTGTGACTTCCAGGACATTCAAGTGCACCATGCATAATTGAGCCACAATCATCGACTGCTGATTTGCCCACCTCCATTCCTCCAAACCCCAGACAGATGACCAGATTGATAAGCCCCTAAAGGGCAAGAACTGCATTTTACTCCTCTTTTTTAAATCTCCATTGCTTAGCCCAGAACCCAGCTCATAACAAGCAATGAGTAAAGGAGAGAAAACGAATCTGAACGCGTGAGGTATAGACAGTGAAAGGAGATTGAGCTGTGAAGGGAAAGGGAGCAGTGGCACCCGGCACGCCCCACACAAACACTTTGTACTTGTACTTGGACATACCCTTGTCCTTAACCTCTAAAAACCATGCTCAAGAAACAGACTTCGGCTTAAGCACGTGTTGACAACAAGCATGTAAGGTGGGGCTCAGCCTGCTCTCCAAACCCACTTACTCCTAACACTATTCTACAGGGGACCCAGCCAGTTCTTGTAGCCCCTGGCTGGTGTCGTGTTGGAATTCCTGGTTGCGTAGCTCTGCGTAGAAGTCAACTCCTTCGGAGACAGGGCGGCTGGGCTGATTGTGGTTCTGGTGGTAGCTGGTCAGAGGGCCCCCGTGTGGGCTGCACTTGGCAGCGGTTGGAGGAAACACTGGTGATGGTGTGGCAGGCAACTCAGGTTTCCTTTGAAGCTCTTCCTGTGCTTGCACTTGAACTCCAGCACCAGCTTGGTGTACGTCTTGAAGGTGGTGACAGCTGATGCCATGCAGCAGGTGAAGGAAATTCAGGCTGTACTAGGAACAAACATACAAAAAAAAATTTACACGGAATCTTTCTTACAGGTTTGAAAGAAAAATGCCCTGATCTCTTCCTTACTAGTAAACTAGGCTGATGCCTCTTAGGGACTTAGGGACATGGCTGTGCTGTCTTCCACTGTGGAGCAGGAAAAGAACTGTGGGTAAAAGGACTTAATTTGGTCTGTCGTAGTAGGTTACACTCCGGATGTTTCATAGTAAAAGAGAATGACGCATATAGTATTAATACCTTAATCAATAAAGAAATTTTAAAAAAAGGCAGACAAGGAGTTGAGCGGATTCCTTTTCACGGAATTGATTACTTGTTAATACTGTGCTTGTTTATACGTGGTGTGCCTATTTTTTGTTTATAAACACACACACTTAGCGTTGTTGCCTACTGTTTCTCAAGCTGCAGTTACCCTTGTGTAATCTTCAAGACTCCATAGACCTGCACTGTAATACTTCCCTGCCCCCTTCTCCCTGACCCCTCCCCTCCCACACACACTCTGCTAAAGATTTTCCTTCTCTCGGATGCTGGAGTGATCATCGCTCCTCCCTCTTCCCTTGTTCTGAGCTTAGCAGTTTTAAGGGCCCTCAGGAAGCACTTACTACAAATTTGGATGTATTAACAGGTTGCACTAAGTGGAATTTGCCTATTATGAAAACAATTTGGTTCTCGACTTTAGGGAGTTTATAATGGATGGAAGAGATGCTAGAGATGAAGGGAAGCTGGATGGATTCAACAAAGAAGAAAAGACATCAGGGAAGTTTATCAGACACGGCTCTAAAAACTTGGAAAGTCAAATCCTAAATCTCCCTGTGATTCTGGGTGGCCCAGGAAACAGGAAGTTGTGTGAGGTTAGTGAGAGATTTCATGAGTCCAAGGGATGGTTAAAGCCAGGCCACATGCTGGTACTACGTGTTCCTGTCTGCAGCCTCTGGTGGTGGCCCCCATGATGTATTCACAAGTCTTCCAGGCAACTGCCAACGGGTCCAGAAGACTGGAGGCCACATGCTTGGAATTATGGGTGGACAAAGTAGACTCAGGCTGGGGAGGCTTCTGATGGGAGTTTTGCAGTCTGAGCTCTATAGTAAGGCCAGCAATGGCTTGGAGACAGGCAAAGATGAGAAACAATGAGTCTGGGAAATGAGCTAAACTGATACGGTGGCTGGAGAAGTAGACCAAAGACCCAGCCTGAATCAAATAGCATGTATTATGCAGCGAGAAAAGGGATAGGATCTTGTAACGACATGTGGAGCTTTCCATATTGCCTTCTTTAGAAACTCGAGCTGGCGCTGCATCTTTTCAGCACTGTTAAAGTCCATAGCACTATCCAAATAGTTACCGTCAGTTCAGGTTGCCCCTGTGCCAGAATCGAGCATGTGCTTCAAGTGAGGAACTCTTAAGCAAAGGGGATGTTTACCTTGACTATATTTGTTTTGTCATGGTTTTCTAAGGCTTAGAGAATGACTGTAGGGGAAGTTTTATTTCTAACACAGTTTGGTGGAATCAGAATGGAGGTAGGAAGAAGTTAGTCTTCATTACAGGAGAAGAGTAAGCCATTCACAGGGAATAGAATTCAATCCAAATTTCAAGGCCAATTGACCATTTCTCGGTCCTCTAATACCTCAAGTCATAAAAAATATAAAACATAGAGCATCATTTCTATAAGCCATACACAATCAGTCTTGTTTCCCAAGGGCAACATACTTATCAGGTAAAGAAGCAATTGCAACAGTTGTACCAGCAGAAAAACTGGGCAAGACAACAGCCTCACAAAACAAACTAGAACCCTCTCTGTACCTGTTCAGAAGGTGGGGGAAGAATGGGTGTGGCCTGATGGTCTAGCCTTCTGTTTGATTGACAGTCTTCTGGGATGAGAGGTGAAGAGAAGGTAGAAGAACACAAAGCAAGTGTCTATGTGAGGGAAGCAAATCTAATGAAAGTTGGCTGGGGGAGGGGCCAAAGGTTCAGGAGATGATGGTAAGCACTTCCTAGAACAGTGATGGCGAACCTATGACACGCGTGTCAGAGGTGACACGCGAACTCATTTTTTTGGTTGATTTTTCTTTGTTAAATGGCATTTAAATATGTAAAATAAATATCAAAAATTTAAGTCTTTGTTTTACTATGGTTGCAAATATCAAAAAATTTCTATATGTGACAAGGCACCAGAGTTAAGTTAGGGTTTTTCAAAATGCTGACATGCCGAGCTCAAAAGGTTTGCCATCACTGTCCTAGAAGGTCCACCCATAATTCCAAGCATGTGGCCTCCAATCTTCTGGACCCAAGTTGGCAGTTGCCTGGAAGACTTGTGAGTACATCATGCGGGCCACCATCCCCAGAAGGCCTACAGAGGGAGCAGGAAGGCAGCACCTTTAGAGAAAGGCTGACATTGCCATCTACAGGGAACTAGACTTCAGAGCAACCTTCTCATTGTGTATCAGGTGCAGCCACAGGTCCGGGAAGACGAATCTGTCAGGGAGACTCCCTGAATGCAGGGGGACTTTCTGCATCAGGCTGCCCCAGACTTTAGAGCTATGGAGAACGGCTGAGTCAATGCTGCACTCAGGGTTACGTTCCCCTTGATTTCTCTCCACCCATACCCCCAATGTGAGCTTTATTCTTGATCTGATATATGCATCTCTTACTTCAGCCAACAGTCTTGAAAAGCTCTGTGTGTCACAATGGAAAAGTAAACCAAGCTAATTTACACATCGAGGCATTTGCAAAGAAAAAGAACCTAGGGATAAACCATTTCACAAAGTACGTCATGACCTAAGATGACATTTCACATGTTATCTCAATTTAAGATGGAAAACGCTTGCAATGTACCTCATACCTCTTCCCTCCCACACACACCCCGCCCAAGGTTCCTCTTTCCTCTCCTCAGGGCAGAGACCAGCCAGCCAGTTAGTGCTTCAGAGGGCGCAGAGGACACCCACCCTCTCCAGCCTTGGGGGCGCTCACCTGACATGACAGAGGAGATAGCAGCCAAGGCTCTCTCAGCTTGAGCCCACAGCCAGGGTTCCCGGTGAACAGCAAGTCCGTTAATAGGAGGAGGAAACCGATGAGTTCAAGTCTGATGCAGGCAAACTGGGCTCCCAGTAATAGCCATAGGATCTCTGTCGGAAAGCAGAGGAAGAGGCACCCTTACCCTGCCCGTTAAATAACTGGACGGTGAACCATCAGATGGGAAATTTGGTGGTGCCTATTGAAAGAGAAAAGCCTTGCAGCATCAGAGAAGGGGAGGGTGAGACAAAGCTGAAACCAGCTGGGAACATTCCTTAATTTGGGGTTCTTTTTCTAGCACCCCACAGCTCTCACTCTACTCGGTCCCCAACATATAATCAAGTAAAATTGATTGGCTGTAAATACTGTTAGAGAGATTTGAGAAGTCATTGAAATCTTGCAGTAATAGGCTTTGCTATTTATCATTGTTTTTTCTCTTTTCTTAATTTTGGACAGCCAGTTTTGTTTCTCCCCTCCCTCCAGGCCTCCCCTTTTCCTTCTATTTTACACAGACACAAAAATATTATTGGAGAAAAAAAGGAAAAACCTAAGCTTTTCAACATGGTTACTTGGCAACAGGAGTAGGTCAGAGCTGTGGTTTTCTATGTGTGAACTTGATTTGTCCCTGCTGTTTCTTTCCTTGCATGCCTGCATGTGAATGAAAGGCAGCTCTAGAAGGAATCTGTGTCAGCCCTTGGGAGCTCAGAAGAAAAGAAAAGGGGGAGATCACGGTACGATTTGGATCCAGAGAAGCCCCAAAACTCAATGGCAACTAAATTTGTTATCAAACCCACATACTTGCCACAAGCCCCAAGGGAGGGTGGGGGAGGAAAGCCTTCTCCATTAACCGCTTCCCTCCATATCGGAGAGTGGGGTGATGTAGGCGTTGCAACGTGGCATATTCCAGTAGTCCTTTCTCACCTCTCTTGGTTGATGGTGTGAGTTCAAGGGAACGTCGGCATTTCTTCCCTGAAACAGACAAGGGTCAGTTTCTTGGAGGTGCTTCCTTGGACAGTTGGGAGGAAATCTGTCCCCAGTCCCATACCCAACACCACTCCATTTGTTCTGACGCAGTGCCTGCCCAGCAGACAGTAGGCAGGCAGTAAACGGCTCTTTGAAAGTAGTTAAGAATGCATGGACAAGAGTCACCCGAAATTAATTTCTCAATTCCTGATAATGAAGATGACAATGTTACCCTGAGAGGGAAATGTTCTTGCTCCTGTTAATGACCCCAGGAAGAGTTAATGACTTCAGTGTTAACCCAGGCCATTTGCTGAGGTGGTCCCACTGGTCTGAATGGCTCTAAATTGTTTAGGGACTGGGGTTGGAGTGGTATTAAGTGGCACAATACACATTTATATTCCTCTTCTGGCTCCTTTTCCCCTTAGCCCAAGCCAGGAGAAGGAGAATATTGCAAATTGTCTGTGATTTGGGGCTTTAGAAAAGCTTCAGTACCAGGTGACATTTGAATGCTTTGAGCAGGAAGCAGGGAGGGTGATCTCGACCTAATTGCTCTAACCTGAGGACCAGGGATGAGGGTGCATGCTGACACCAGAGTCCTGACATCCTTATAGGGCCTAATTACTCTCTCTGAGCTTCAATTACCCTGCTTTCAACATTACAAGTAACTAGAGGCCAGGTGCACGAATTCGTGCACATTGAAAGGAAATTAATTAGAAGAAATATTTTAGTATTGCTATTCGCTCTTTCTCTATAATAAAAGTGTCAACCAAATTCACAATCGACAATGACAGATGGAAAGACATGCATTCAATTGGCACCAGCGATATATATATTTGCTTAATTAGACCTGCTTTCTGATTTAGCTAAACCTTTTCCAGCCCAGTGAGGCACCCCAACTTCTCTTTCAGGTAATTGTCAGCAACACAGCAGTAAATATCAACATGAAGCAGATTAGTCTTATAGATCATGCGGTAGAACAAAGGGTGAAATATTTAACTGTAGCAGTGTTTGACTATATTCTGTGCAGTGAGAAAACCTGAAGTCATTTTCAAGTTCCACCATTTCTTACTTCTTTTCAGTTGGGTCAAGTTTCTAAACTTTTTAAATCTCTGTTTTCCAGCTAATGAAAAGAAAATAGGATTCTACCTAGTCTCCTATCTACCTACTCCAGGACTTCTGTGAGGATCAAATGAGATGAGGCATGTGAAAACGCTTCATAGACATCTGATTAAAGTGTGAAATGTTTGCACCTGTCTCTAAAGCAAGTTGTGTCCTGGGCTGAAGAAACTCCAAGGAGGCTAGTCACTAGGGAGAGGAAGCTGGGCGTTGCTACGTGATATCATTACCCGGTGCCCACAGCCACATTTTTTGGGCTGGGCTGGGCTGGGCTGTGGGCTGCATTTTGCACCATGGGGGTCTCGACAGCATTGGCTGCAATTTGATGGGCTGTTGCTCCAGGGTGGTGACGGGCCTGTGTCCCACTTGGGGGAAGCTGAGTGTTGCTTTGTCGGCACCAGGTCTGTAAATGGCCAGTGCCTGTCCCGGCAGCTCCTGCATTGATCATCTGCCCTCTGGTGGTCAGTGAGCATCATAGCGACCGGTCGAACAGCTTAGCATATTAGCCTTTTATATATATAGATACTTAGAATGAGAAAACCCTTTTTCAGGAGGGAGGGAAAGGAAGGGGCTTTAAGGGCGATCTACTCTGATCCATCTCATTGATGAGAAAATCGAGGCCCATAGAAATGAAGTTATCCCGATAAGGTCACAGCTGGGCAGAACAAGGCTGTTCCCGTAATATCATCTCTCCTTTTTTGTTTCTAAACAGCAACTTCAGTTTGCTAGAATGGAAATCCTTATACTGTTGAAAGTCTAAATGGAACCCTTTAAGGGTAATGCTACTTTAACCCAATGAGTCTACTAGACAGGCAGGAAGTGAAAAGCCAGATGGACTTTCATCCTTATTAAAAGGGGGTTCCCTAAAGAGAAAGCACACAGTACAGTGGTGGGAAATGCTGAGCTTGAGGGTGAGGCCGATGTGGTGTGGGAGAGGGCTATAAGATCCCATGGGGGGAAGGAGGTGGTCAGGCAGCTGGGGATGAGGAGTCTACCTGGTTCTTCCACAGTTTCCTCACAGGATAGCCGCATGCCACTCCGGAAGGTATGGCAGGAGAAGCGGTCATCCCCAGTCTCCCAGGTGCATTGCACCACCTCCTGGGATGATGTGCTGCTGCTGCCCCCATCCAAGGGCACTGGCAGCTCAAAGCACTTGGTTGCCAGACCTTCTCTGCACAGGGGCTTGGGCACCTTCTGTGTGTCCACAAACCAGGAGTTGCTGAGCAGGAATGCTGTGGAGAGGCCGAGTGATAGCAGGTTGAGGATGGCAGATAGGAATGTCCATTGGCCAGAGAAGACCTTCGGGAGCTCCATCTGTAACAGACAGACAAGGGGAGAGCCTGCTTTCAGACCCTCCTGGGAGATCTGGACACCCTTCCCTGCGGCTCCCTAAGCTCAGGCCCCTTTCCTCCAACCTGCCGGTGCCACCAGCCACTTTGAGTTTCCTCCAAAGAGCCGTGTGGAAGGTGGGCTTCAGCTGGCCTGGGGCAGACACCCTAGCGATGATGTTTATTTAAGCCGGACCGTATTATACTAAAATGCTTACTGAGGATGATCCGAGGAGGCATCAGAGAATACCTCAGTCAGAATGGGATGAAGCCACTGAGGCTAGGCTATAGATCAGGTTGGGAAAAAGAATTGGGAGCACTCTAAATGCTCTCGCTGGTCATCATTTTTGGTGTTGTCTGCAATGAAAGGTAACACTGCATTTAGTAGCACTGACTCGCTGAGATGTCTGTTATGGTAACTGAGTTTTCCCTGTCCTCTTCCCTGCATCATAGGTTCTTCTGAGAGGGAAATGGGGGGGAGGGATGTGTCCTATCAGCTAATGATTAACTGGATCACAGGGGTGGGGCCTTGAGGATAAAAGGAAACAGTGGGCCCACTGGGATGGAGAGCAGAGGGAGCTGCGGGTTCTGAGAGACCTGGTTATCTGGGTCCAGCTTTCCATCCATGGCCACTGAGATGCAGGAATCAAATGGGAGATGGCTGCTTGGTGCCCATGGAGGCTGCGCACCAAGTGCTGAGGCCATGGAGCCACGGAAAAGGTGACTTTGGCTGGTGGAGGGGCACTGCTCGACTCACAGCGGGGACACAGGGTGTGGCAGCAGAAACGTCCGTGGCCCGTGTGGCTCTGGTGGGAGCCCCTGACCTTGTTATTTTTAGTCTAAGAGAGGGCTATTTGAAGAATGACCAATGCTAGATGTTTCAACTTTGGGGAGTGGTGGCTTGGAGCCAGATTTAACAAAAATAAATTTGACAGGTCTTGCACTTTGTGTAATGGAATGGTTTATACTATTGTGTTAATACGTTCTGAATGGAAAGGAAGCCCATACTTAGCTGCTGACAGATGCTTCTTAAAGTAAACCATCTTGAGCTTTCCAGGGGATCTCTCATGGCAGAATTAATCAGACCCAAATCTGCTTCGCTTAAGAGACGTAAATAAAACCATAGCTAAATGGGATAGGCCCATTAATCTGCCTCTCTCATCATCTCCAGCTTAACATTTTCTACATTTAACAGAGAACTTTATCTCAGAAATATAACAGTTTGTTCTTTAGACTTTCCAGGGACTAAAACAGTGCAGGCTACAGACAAAACGTGGATTATTTTATGGCAATAAGAAATACACAAGACTCTTATGTATATAAAAACCAATATACAAAACATGATAAACTGTTTCTGGGAAGCAATCTGCTAATTCGGTGTTTTTTTTTTTTTAAGCACTCAAAACAAATTAAATCCACCAAGAATTGTCAGACTGTATAAGACTCTGGGTGACCTTGGTAAGGACTGAAAAACCACAGCACCTGGAAGGGAGAAACATCTTCTATTGCTAGATATGGGAATCATATGTTGGCCCATCAATTTGGCCCCCCCCCCCCCCCCCCCCCCCCCCCGCCAAAAAAAAAAAAGAGAATGTTTTAATGTTGTTTTTAGTCATGGAAATCCTATTGGTTTTAGTTATTATTCTGTTACATGAGTTACCCATTCTAATTATCTTCCTGTCCATTGCCTGAATAGGAAATTGACTTCCAGATAAAACATCTTCATTAATCATTTTGTCTAAGGATTTAGGCAATTCTACATTTTCAACAACTTTATTTTCAGTCTTCGGTGGCTTGGAAATTAGTTTGTCATCATCATATCACATCAGATTTCAATTGTACCCTTGCTTCATTTCAATTTACACATATTTTTAAGTTCTGCAGGTTATTCAGAAACAAGAATAATGAACCCCACACCATGTACAACCACTTTGCAGCACCAAAGTGACAACGAATTTAAGGAAAGGTGATTTGAGAAACAAAAGATGAAAAGAGCTTGGAATGAAGCCCAATGAGGCTGCTTTCAGAAGGAGTGTCCACCAAGGATAGATATAATGACCCTCATTCAAGAATTATCTTTGACACCTATAGTACCATACTTCTCACCACATATTTTATTTTTCCCCACAATTTGCAGCACCAAAGTGACAACGAATTTAAGGAAAGGTGATTTGAGAAACAAAAGATGAAAAGAGCTTGGAATGAAGCCCAATGAGGCTGCTTTCAGAAGGAGTGTCCACCAAGGATAGATATAATGACCCTCATTCAAGAATTATCTTTGACACCTATAGTACCATACTTCTCACCACATATTTTATTTTTCCCCACAATATGCCTCCCTCCCCCCCCCCCCCCCCCAGGTTCCACATACCTCTTGAATGGAAGAACAAATCTAAATTTTTCAGGGGTTTCCTTAAGGTGATCATGAAGGAGCAGCAGCCATAAGGAAAGTTATATCTTTGCATATGCTGACAAGCCCCATGCCAATGTCATTCTACTCCACAGAAAAGGGACAATGAGTGACTTCCCGACACTTGGGTTCAAATCATTAGGAAGTACATAGGTACCAAAATGTCACTAATTCTTCCATCAACATATGTTAACAGAAAAACTCGTAATTAACATAGGCTTACCATAGGCAACAAATGGGTGAGACAGTCACACCTCTTAGAAGAATCAGGTGCAAAATAACTATGCAATGTATGTTCTGAGCAATGGGAGGGTGAAGCTAGTTAGCTTGGCCATGGTCAGACTCTTGCAGCTTGTGTGGAAGGACTGCAGGATGCCATCTGGGTTCCAAATCTCTTTGGTTTAATGTTGAAAAATTGGAAATTAGCCTTCCCACCCTCTTCTCCCACCCCTTACCATCCCTCTTCTTTCTTTCTTTCTTTCTTTCTTTCTTTCTTTCTTTCTTTCTTTCTTTCTCTCTCTCTCTCTCTCTCTCTCTCTCTCTCTCTCTCTCTCTCGAGCGCCTCATGATTAATGGGCATTTAATAATTGACAATACAATCATGGCCCAGCTGTTCTGGGAGATTACGTGGGAGCATTTGCCAATGGGGATCTGGGATTAATCACAGAAAAGCAAAGACCTGCACCCACAGAGGGACATTTCTTTACAAAATAAGTGATGATTTAGTTTCCATCCCACTGCCATTCCCTAGGTAACTGGTGTGAATGGATTGGGCTTCATTTTATGGCAGACACACAAATATTACAGGATCACCATTGATGCAAAGGTTTTCATCCCCTTGTGTAGGGCTTTCCATCTCTTTAATAAGCTCTATTATCTGTCAGAGCTTCATAGAACTCATGGATATGAAATAGCTTCCTGGTATCTTGGGTGGTCTCCACCCTCCAGTTAGCATCATTACTAATGGTTATTAACATCGTCCCTTTGCATGGAACGAGGCAGTCAGAGAGTGTTGGGTGGGGATGTGGTGAGGATGCAGATGGAGTAGAATAGGAGACAAATAAATTCCAGGGTCAGCAATGCTACAGCTATCTACCATTTCTCCCTGATCTCCAGGCAAAGGAATGACAATTTTTATTTTAAACTAGAGGCCCGGTGCACAGGATTCATGCACTGGTGGTGGTGGGGGGGGGCGTGGTCTGTGGGGATTGGCCCGCTGTGGGAGTGCCGCTCATCCTGGTCAGCCGAGCAGCGCTCCCACTGTGGGAGCCCACTGACCACCAGAGGGCAGCTCCTGCATTGGGCATCTTCCCCCCTGGTGGTCAGTGAGTGTCATAGCGACTGGTCAACCAGTTGTTCTGGTCGTTCCGCTGTTTAGTCGCTGGGCTCTTATTATACAGGATGGTTTCTAAAACTTAAAAAAAAAATCTGACAAATGAATAAGGTGTTGATTGTATATATTCTTGTTCTGGTCACCTAGAAGTTCATGTTGTTCTTTCTGTCCTCAAAAATCATACCAATTAGGATGACAAGGGCGGGAGACATTCTGTATTACCTTTTTACTTGGTGATCTGCCTTTCATCAAGATTAGTGTGAAAGTCACTCATTCTTTAAAAATGAATGGGAGCTGTTCCCTCCTCTCTGTCCTTGTCACACTGTACCCCTCTCCTAACACTCTGTCTTGATTATAAATTTCTCTTATTGAGAGCAGTAATTCTTCATTCTGAATAAGCCTCAGAACTATCTGAAACTTTGGAAAAGATGTAGATTTTTGGACCCCAATCCTGAGATTCCATAGTAGTTCTGGGGTGAGTCCCAGTAATCTGTAATTTTAGGACACTCAGTATATACCCAGGATGGACTTCTTGTTTCTGGCTCCACATGTGAGCAACTTGTATATCGCCACTCTGACCTAACAATTGATGAAAAGCTGAACAGACTGAAAAAACATATAATCAGGGAATTAAGATAACACCTGGCTTAACTGGTGTTGCTCAAAGATTGAGCATCGACCTATGAACCAGGAGGTCACTGTTTGACTTCCGGTCAGGGCACATGCCCAGGTTGCAGGCTCCATCCCCAGTAGGGGCGTGCAGGAGGTAGCCGATCAATGATTCTCATCATTGATGTTTCTATCTCTCCCTCTCTCTTCCTCTCTGAAATCAATAAAAATATATTTTAAAATAACACCTGTCTGACTCATTTTGGGTTTATATTTAATGAAACCCTCTATTCCCTGCCCTTCTCCCAACTCTTCCAGATTCACCATCAACCAAGTGAAGGTTTTTCCCATTCTGTTGTGCCGTCAGCTTAGGGAATCAAAGGCAGGCTCTCCTCAGAGTGTTTGAATTAGTCTACCTTTTAGCCAAAGGAGCCTCTCTGGGTCTCACTTCTGCCACCCAATATATTCTCTATTCTTCTCACACTGATGTGAACAGCCTATTTGACGCAATATGCTTGTGCCCAGACATAATTCCCATATCACCCAATGACCCTTCATTCGTTGTGACAGAACTTCCTATCTGCTGGGACCAGGGAGCAGGAATTCTGTGGTTACAGCTCATGATGGAATTGGCTGCTGGTTTCCTGGCTACCGTAGTCATCACAACGCTGGGTGGCACCATCTCCTCAGATTCTTCCTCTTTAGTCATGTGCTCCCCACCAGTCAGCAACTGTGGGTGAGGTGGCGGCTCCTCCCTTCGGGATTGTTCTCTTTTCCTCGGTTGGCCTGCTCCCCACACTAATCTATAGAGCACATGTGTCAGCCTTATGGAATT